CTTCTCCTCCTCCTTCTTCTTCTTCTTCTTCTTCTTCTTCTTCTTCTTCTTCTTCTTCTCCTTCCTTCCTCCTTCCCCTTCTCCTTCCCCCTTCCTCCTTCCTCCTCCTCCTCCTTCCCCTTCCCCTTCCCCTTCTCCTTCTTCTCCTTCCTTCCTCCTTCCCCTTGTCCTTCCTCCTTCCTCCTTCCCCTTGTCCTTCCTCCTCCTCCTTCTTCTTCTTCTTCTTCTTCTTCTTCTTCTTCTTCTTCTTCTTCCTCCTCCTCCTCCTCCTTCTCCTTCCTTCCTCCTTCCCCTTCTCCTTCCTCCTGCCTCCTTCCTCCTCCTCCTTCCTCCTCCTCCTCCTCCTTCCCCTTCTCCTCCTTCTCCTTCCTTCCTCCTTCCTCCTTCCTCCTTCCTCCTTCCTTTTCTCCTTCCTCCTTCCGCTTCTCCTTCTCCTTCTCCTCCTTCCCCTTCTCCTTCCTCCTTCCTCCTTCCTCCTTCCTCCTTCCTCTTCTCCTTCCTCCTCCTTCCCCTTCCCCTTCTCCTTCTTCTCCTTCCTTCCTCCTTCCCCTTGTCCTTCCTCCTTCCTCCTTCCCCTTGTCCTTCCTCCTCCTTCTTCTTCTTCTTCTTCTTCTTCTTCTTCTTCTTCTTCTTCTTCTTCTTCTTCTTCTTCTTCTTCCTCCTCCTCCTCCTCCTCCTCCTTCTCCTTCCTTCCTCCTTCCCCTTCTCCTTCCTCCTSCCTCCTTCCTCCTCCTCCTTCCCCTTCTCCTCCTTCTCCTTCCTTCCTCCTTCCTCCTTCCTCCTTCCTCTTCTCCTTCCTCCTTCCGCTTCTCCTTCTCCTTCTCCTCCTTCCCCTTCTCCTTCCTCCTTCCTCCTTCCTCCTTCCTCCTTCCTCTTCTCCTTCTTCTCCTTCTTCTTCTTCTTCTTCTTCTTCTTCTTCTTCTTCTTCTTCTTCTTCTTCTTCTTCTTCTTCTTCTTCTCCTCCTCGTTCCTTCTTCTTCTCCTTCTCCTTCTTCTTCCTTCTTCCTTCTTCCTCCTCCTCCTCCTCCTCCTCCTCCTCCTCCTCTGGCTGCACCCCAAGACAGTTATCATCCAAAAGTCCTGGATGCCGTCATTCAGTCTTCTTCTTCTTCTTCCTCTTCTACTTGTTGCTCCTCTTCTTGTTCTTGTTTTTATTTGTTGCTCCTCTTCCTCTTCTTTTTGCTGCCCAGTGGGCCGAACCTACCTGTCTCCAAACCCGTGCGAACCATTGCAGTTTGCAATTGAGGTCGATGTCGGACATACTGGTGCCACCGATGTGAAAATCTTGAATTCGACACAATGCCTCGAAAAGCGTCAAGAACACCTATCTGAGATAGGGTTCACGTAAAGTGGAACTGTTTCCCGTTTCCACTTTGCATGAACCCTATCTCAGCAGAATTCCCACCACCGGGGCCGCTATGATTGTGCTGGTGTCCAACCAGCAGGCTTAGTTCAGATGGTGCACCCATGAACTGTCAAAATAAAAGATCCAAGTTGGACTTTGGCGGATGCAATCCGATGGAACTACCTGGGGCCGTGCAGCAGCTCAGTGATCATCTCTCGACGACCCTTCTGTCCTGTTTGGGGGCTGTTTGTCCCCACCGCCAACTCCTAAAAAGAACTCACCTCTTTACCTATGCGCAATTCCAGCTCCAGATGCAGACCCCTTTTCAACCCCGCCTGTCAGCATCCATAGAGAAAAATGGAAGTAGGCCTTCCTTCTTTTTTGTTTTTTGTAAGGCTTGCCAGCAAGACAGGCCCGGCATGGCAGTCCATTCTCAAGCTGCACGCGTGCCTATCTCTGTTCTTTTCTTTCTTTTATTTTCTTTTTTTCTTTTCTTTTTCTTTTTCCCTTTTTTATTCTTTTTTCTTTTAAACACCAACGACGGGGGGTGGGGGGGGGGGTTGCTGGTACGAGCAGACATCCCCTCCACAGCCCCTTTGTAAACTGGTTGCAGATGCAAACAAAATACACACCAGTGAGCCTAGCTCAGTTGGTACACCCATGAACTGCTGAATAACAGGCCCAAGTTTAAATCCTGATGGACCTTGATGAATGCAAAGGAATAATACCTGGGGTCTGTCAACTCGATGATGATATCCCGTGGCCCTTACCCTCTTCTTTTGTTGGGATAATTTGCGAAATACCCCCATAAGTTGGGAAATATGTCAAAATGCCCCTGAAAGGTGTGGGTAGAGCGGAAATGCCCTTTTGGGCCGAAATCTTTGAGCTGTGCCCCTGGCAGGCGGGTGTGCAGCTTTGCAATCTGGACCTCACCGTTTGGGCCTTGGCCTTTTGCAATACCGCCTAGGAAAAGTTGCCAAGTACTGGGGCATTTTGCAAAGTTGGACGGAACCCGGTAGGGATATATTGCAAAGATGGGGGTCCAACCGACGCCAGGGGTCTTTCACATAATAGTATAATACCATTTTTGTCAGCGTGGCATTCTGCTCTACCCACATCTTTTAGGGGCATTTTGGCATGTATCTCAACTTATGGGGGTATTTTTGCAAACTATCCCTTTTTAAAAAAAATACGCAACATAAATAACTAAATAAATAAACAACTTCTGAAAAGGGGAGAAAGGCAGAGCTGGCACCTGCTTACACCGGTGCCTGCCATTGTTCTCAAGACCTCTTGTTTCGAAAAATGAGGCAGGCGTCTCGAAAAATGAGGCAGGTGTGTGTGTTTCAATGGGCACAAGCTTTTTCTTTTCCTGCCTGCCATCTGGCGGGCAAGGGCTGTTCTCTGCTTTTGTTTTTTTTTTTGCCAGCTTTTTTTGGTTTTCCCCCGCTTGTGCCTCTTGCCTCTCGTCTTGTCTGCGCATGTGTCTCCTCGTGGGCAGATGAACCAGAACCAGCATGGAAATTTGCAGCCTATTTTCCCTTTTTCGCTGGGTACACCTGCTTTCTTCCCTGTTGCACTACTGCCCCTTCCCCGGCCCCAAAATATTTGGAAAGAGCCTCTCGTGATTCTGAACTTACCTGCCTTCTTCCCCCGAATTACAGCGCACCCTCATTTTGACTGTATCCGGCCGGAAACATACCTTGCATACGTTCATTTTCAGGGTGCGTTATGTTCAGGGGAAGACGGTAGGACCATGTACCTGTGGTTATAAGTATGTAGACTGGACTACCCATTATCAAGAGTGGGGCTCTGCTGCAAGCAATGACGGGGGCTATTTAAGAAAATGGCGCCCATTGACCAGGGTTTCCAACGTTAAACCACCAGTGCCCCAGGGGTCTTAGGCCCCGTCTTACGCAAATGCATATGGACCCGCGCGGCACACCGATTCAGCCTCTGCGTTAACGCCTAAAAACGTGGTAGGTACTGGGGTTTTCTCAGCTATTGATGCTGACATTGCTGAGCCTAAAAACGCCCTGCTCGGCCAGCTTTGCCCAGCCTGAATGCTACTGGTACCAGCGCATGGAAAAAAGAGGACGGTACCGGTACTGCCCTCTGTGAAACCCGTCTGCTGGAGCTCGGGCCAGCAGACGGAACACAAAGGAGGCCGTCGTTTTCACTCATGTAAAAGAAGTGGAAAAAAAAAGGAAAAAGAAAGTTCAGGAAGATGCTGACAGGGAACTGAATGCTCCCCACCTCTCACGGGGAAACGCTGCAAAACAGCAGAGATTCTTCCTTCTGAAAAAGAAACAAAAAGAAAAGAAATAAAATTATAAAAGAGGAATATGAAGATATTGATCTCTTCGAATGTACAACCCCCCAATCTCGGTCAGATACATTCTGGGAAGTGCTAGCATGAAAATGCCCTTAACAGTTCCTTTTCTTTTTTTTTGTTCTTTTTTTTCTTTCATGTCAGGGTATTCAGTGATACCATTAGGTTCGCAGCTTAGGCTTGGATCCCACTGGCCGGCGGGGCTGGAAAAGGCACTTTGCTGCCAGAAGCTGGCCAAAGTTGGTGGAAAGGAATTGGCACATTTCGACGCGACCCCACTGCCGACTTCTGGTGGGGCTTTGGAAACGGCCAGGCTTGCCGCAGTAGGAAAAACAAGAGGGCCCCCTCCCGAATAGGAAAGTATGGATGACCTGCATGGACCGGCGGACATGCTAGGATGTCGGGTGCACGG